CAAAGATCCGGTTACTGCTGTTGGAACCCTCTCTATTTGGTGAGTCTCGAGTCTAATTTTGTACCTAATTATTGTTATTATTCCGACAATGCTTAATTCAATCAGGATAGACAAGTCGAGCTTGAACTTTGTAATTTGATTGAGTTGAACACCTCATCAAAACATATCAATTTTTTGTCGTCTTTCAGCTCAACTCTTAGTGAATGGCAGGAAATGTTTTTTGTCGGAATCAACGCTGCCATAAGGTAATGAAACCCTTGCGTTGTAATTTGGTTTGAGTTTGTGGTTAATGTATTGTTGTTTTCCCAGTGTTCGGGTCTCAAATGAGCTTGGGCTAGGACATGCCAGGGCGACCAAGTATAGTGTATATGTCACACTATTTCAGTCATTTCTCATTGGGATTCTCTGCATGATTGTAGTATTGGCAGTGAGAAATCATCTTGCCATTCTTTTCACTGACGACGAGGTTTTGATCAAATATGTTTCTGAGCTTGCTCAGTTTCTTGGATTAACAATGCTTCTCAGCAGTGTTCATCCTGTCATATCAGGTGTTGTTTGCTCTTTAATTAATTAATTGCATTGTTCTGTTCCTATACTTAAGGCCTCCGTAGTCTCATGACAATGATCTTTTCGGGTTGCAGGTGTTGCTATTGGATGTGGTTGTCAAGGTCTAGTGGCTTACATCAATTTGGGTTCTTTCTATGCTTTTGCTATTCCTCTCGGATGTGTTCTTGGTTCTGTGGCTAATTTTGGAGTCATGGTGATTAAATTCTCATGAAAATTACTTGTGTTGAAATAGGAAACAATACTATAATTTTGTTTTCAACAGTATCTGCTGGTGTTGTTTTGCAGGGACTATGGGGAGGAATGATAGCTGGACTTGCTTTGCAAACATTGCTACTCTCAATTGTACTCTACAGAATTGATTGGTATAAAGAGGTACGTCAACTAATGGTTATCGGATATTTCTCATCGTTGAACTCCATAACAAATCTTGTTCGACATTTTGGTCCAAAATCATCTCTGCTGACAGCAAGTACTATAGTCTCTTTTTTCCGAAATACTTGGTGAAATGAAGTAAGAATGCTTAGTATAAATGAGCGTTATGTTGTAATAAGAAAATGGAAATGCAGGTTGAGCAGACAACGAAACGGATGCAGATATGGGGAGATCAAGACTTAGAAACGGAGAAAATTAAAATCTGAATGGCTATAGAATTACGATCTATGCATAGCACAACGTAACTTGATATAAATATGAAGTCATCAAGTTGAAGGGCATAAATATGATTCGAAGCCAAGTTAAATAGCACATTTATGTATTATGCCAATTTTTGATCCGCAATTTCATATTGGGTTAAGGTCTCGAGGAGTAAATTTTTACTCTATTTTTTCATTTTCCCACTATAAGAAAAGAAAATAGTACTTTACCGCTATTATTCAAAATGAAGTTCTAGTCACAATTGTATATTTGTATTGATGAGAAAACACATAAAACACTTCAAAATTTAGTTGCATTACTTACTTTTTAACACTTAAATTATGTGTATAAATACTCTCTTTAACATCTCTCAAAGTGATTAAATCACTATTAAGGGATGATGTGGCAGAAAGAGTGAGTGCACTCTTTTGAAAGTGGGTGAAAACAGAGAAAAAATTGAATTTTTAAAGCCCTACAAATTGTTTTTTTACTAGCCTATATAGAAAAAGTTATTTAAATTTTTTTTTTTTATATATTAAATTTTGAAAATGTGTAAATATTCTTAATAAGAGGTGAAAGAAATTAGTGAGTTTCCCTTTTAATTTCTTAAATTTTTATTTCATTTTATTGTGTTTCTCAACACACATCTTTCTTCATTGAAATATGTCCTTCTCTATCTTCATCTCCACCTTTATTCACGATTTTCATTTCACTAGTCTTTTATTTATCTGTGAAATTTAATATCAATGTCATTTTATTGACGTCAATTCATGCTATATTATTGATGTCGATTTGGCAAATGTAAACTTTCTTAAATTTTGATTGACGCATTTTGATCTATAGATCGGTTCAAATATTTCTCATAAATTTTTATTTTTTTTGGATCAACCATTTTATGCAATCTTCACTTCTTATTTGAGTTGTCAAGAAAAAATTGATTTTCAAAAAAATTCATTTTCCAAGTGGGTAAGTTCGTTGTGATGGTTCGAAGAAGATAATGTGAATATTATAATGAATTTACTTCTTTAAAGTGACTAAAAATTGTTGAATAATGAAGAAAAAAAAGAAAATATTGAAGGTTGGAGTAATGGTGAACAACAAGGAAGATGAAAGAGAGGGATGAAGTGAGGTATGCATTTATAAATTAATCCATTGATATAATTAATTTTTAAAAAGTGTTTAAGAAAAAAATAGTGAATAATTAAAAAAGAAATATAAATTAATGATATGATGTCTACATGAACGATGTGACGCTTACGTAATTGTAATGTGACAGGTGGGAGTAGTATTATAGCCAAAAGATGAAAAAATTCACTTCAAAGATATTAAAGGAGCAGTTAAAGTTAAACACGCGTATAGTTAAGTTATTCGACTAAGTTCAAAAAATCTTTCATGGATTTTTTCATTTCTGTTCAAAGATGAGCATAATGAAGATTCTGCTGATTAATTTTCAATAATAATAATAATATAGATATTTATACTACTATTATTATTGCTATTTAATATTTATATTACTCTTATTATTATTATTAAAATTGGTATTTTTATTATTATTAATAGCATTAATATTTCTTTATTCTTATCTTCTATTTTAATATTTAATTCAAATGTATTTATTTATCAATATTTGAGAATGAATAAAATTATGAAATAGTATGAGTTCATTTAGGGTTCTTTTACCTATTAGAGTATTTCAAAATGACAAATTTATGAAATAGTAAGAGTTTATTTTGGATTCTTCTACATATGTTGTTTAAGCATGCATGCCTACAAAATGTTATAAAAATGTTGTATTAAGCGGAGGTAGATTATGCTTCGAGGTTACATTTCAACATTAGGGGTTAAAGTTACATAAATTATAATTAGTAATTACCTTCTCTTTAAACTGTTTTAACGATAGATGTTTGCAATTTGTTTCGCTGCTATTAAAGAAGAAAAGTAACATTAAGTTTAAATTTTTTTTGTAGAAATGTACAGATAAAACAAACATGGTAATTTTTTTTTAGTTAGGAATGAGAATCATAAACTTATGGATAAAAAAAAGTAAAATCTTAATTACTTTATATTACTAAAATTGATATTTATATTTTATAAAATATAAAAAATTAATATTAAAAAAGAAACTAGCCTTAAAGTATGTGCCGGAGTAAAAAAAATATGCACCAATATTAATATTAATTAAACTCATATAATAAAAATAAAATTTGCCTTAAAAGTATGTGCCACCGACGAAAAAATCTAATTTATTTTCATATTGGAATATTTATTAACTGTCTTAATAATTTGTTTGTTGTAATTTTATTTTTAAAAAATAAAAAGCTACTCCATCCTATTTAATCACCCGATTCTAATTTTTATTTTTTTTACGTTCTTTTCATTTTGTGTTAGATATGTACGTACATATATTTTTTCACTAATGTATCGAATGTAACATAAATAACTAATAAATTTTAAAAAGTCTCGTGGAGGCAAGCAAAAATTATTTTTGATCTGTATATTTAAATACTGAAATAAAATTTGGAAGAGGAGGGCTAAGTGGGATGGGTAAAATTATTTTTTGTTAAGCGGAGGGTTGGTCTATTTTTGGCTTGGGCCAATAAACAGCCGATCCAACCTATAAGTAGGTGGACTACAGGCTTGTCGGTCAGTCTATTTTTTTAAAATTATATTTTTTTTATAATAAATAAATTATAAATTATAATTTAAAATATTAACATAAATATTGACAAAACAATATTACATGATGTTACTGTTACTATTTGTTAATCAAATCCACAAATAAAATTATCTTTATAATATTTATTAAGTTTTTTTTTCAAGTAAAAGTATAAATATTTAAATAGAAATATTAACCTAACTATTTTGAGTTTGGACTCTCTTTAATTTTAAATTTTAATATTATTATATTATATTTTTTAGGAAAAAGGGTCTGATATACCCCTCAACTTTGTCATTTACGGCTGCTTGTTATGAAAGTGGTTCATTATATGCCCTTACCGTTTTGCAAACGGAACACATATAAATATGAGTAGTAAATATAAATTGAAAACTAATTTTTTTAACTTCCGTTAAATGAAGGGTATATGTGAGTCATTTTGTAACGGCAGAGGTATATGTGAGTCGTTTGTATAACGGTAAAGACATATATAGGTCACTTTCATAACGAGGGGTATATCAACTCCAAATGACAAAGTTGAGGGGTATATCAGACCCTTTTCCCTATTTTTAATTATTTTTTATTGGACTACTGGCTGACCCTACATATATTTTTCAAGCCTCACAAATCAACAAACTTATTTAGATCGGGCTAAAAAACTTTTTTTTGTTAATTGAGCTTCATAAATCTTAATCCAACCTTATTAAATTTCATATTAAGCTAAACCAAATCAACAGGCCTAGCCCATATCGAAGACTTTCTTTCAATGAATGCATCTGACTTTGGTACTAGACTGGTATCTATGTTATATTTCAAATTTATATACTACCTTTTTGTTGTTTTAGTGGATCCAACTAAACTTTGCACTTAGTAGAATTTCTTTGATAAAAAAATTTTATAGTGGCCTCATAATGAATCATTCCTATACCTACCCCTAAAGAAAGACCATTTTTTCCGTATGAAAGGTATTAAGTACTTTTGTATCAATATTTGATAATGTTTATAGTTTGTATATATCTATCACTTTTTGATAATTACTTTTTATTTCATCTTTAAGCCTAATTTTAATCACGAGCTAAATGTTTTAATTAATTAAATTAAATTGCAATAATGACGACTCACGACTAATGACCAATACCAGTCGCAATCCTTAACTGGAAAATCCAAACCCTCTTCTCAAAGCTAACATATATATAAAAACAAATGATTTATCACAGAGCATATATAAGAAGCGATGACTCTAAATAGAAAATTTGTGTGTGTTTTGTTATTCTTTTGAACAGATTTGCTTTTGAAATTATGGTTAAAATTGGGTAAAATTATATGGATCATCCAAATTCCAACAGTTTGCTCAAATGCAGATAAGAAGAAGAGATGATTTTTGCCCTTTTTGGCGATGTTAATGAAGCGGCTGTTAATTATCATAGCTGGTAATTTCATTGAATTATTTATTTTTTAATTTTTTTTTAGTATTTCGACTTCTATTACATTTATCAACTTATGATTTAAGAAGCTTGAATTCGTATTTCATTGTTCAATAATTTTCTACTACGATTCTATCGTTTGAAAGAAAAAAAAGGGACAAATTTGATTTATTAATATGAAAAGTTTAATGTGAAGATGAAAAAACAGAGTAGGATTATTAAATTTGTGCATATATATCACAAAGTTATAGGTGGAATTCTTCTACTCTTCACAGACATGATATTTGGGATTTACATTTGTTTATTATTTGGGTATTTTGAAGATTAATTAGAAATGCACATCAAGAGTAATGGTGATTAACATTATCAATTTAGTTAACTGTTCACTTGGATCATTTGTGCAGATACATGAAAAGAAGTAGTTGCTCTCACACTGCAACAAAAAATCAAAAGGCTTAGTGAAGAGCGATGGAACCATTGTCGCTGGAATATGACTCTTCCAGTGATGTTGATGAGCTGGAATATGACTTGTCCAGATACGATCTTATCGCGTCCAATGGTGACTACAGGCGTATTTCTGGCATGAATTTGAATGAGTTGTTGGGTGTATTTTGGATGGAGACAGTAAAGCTATGGGAGATTGGAGGACCAATTGCTTTGAATATCATGTGTCAATATGGACTTTATGCTATCACTGTTGTTTTCTGTGGTCATCTTGGACCAACACAACTCGCTGCTGTTACCCTTGCTCAAACTGTCATTGCTACTTTCTGTTACGGCTTCATGGTGAGTCCTTGTACCCTCGTTCCTTTTACGAGTGTTGCCCCCAGTACTACAGTAATAGTTACATGGGATCCATTTGTAGATGGGCATGGGGAGTGCTTTGGAGACGCTCTGTGGGCAGGCATTTGGTGCTGGGAAAATACACATGCTTGGGATTTACACACAACGCTCAATGATTATTCTATTGATGAGTGCTTTCCTTCTCTTGCCAATCTATATTTTCGCGACTCCTATACTTAAGTTCCTAGGCCAACATCATGATATTGCTGTGGTTGCTGGAAAGTTCACCCTATTAATCATACCTGAATTATATTCCCTGTCTATCACTATTCCCACTTCTAAATTTCTTCAAGCCCAGAGTAAAGTTGGCGTGCTGGCTTGGATTGGTTTTGTGGCTCTATCACTCCATGCTCTTCTCCTTTGGCTCTTCATTCATGTGTTCAATTGGGGTTTAACCGGGGCAGCTATGTCCCTTAATCTTGTATGTTGGATCAACGCCCTAGCTCAATTTGCTTACGTCGTTGTTTGGTGCAAGGATGGGTGGAAGGGATGGTCTTCGTCTGCATTCAATGACATGTGGCCGTTTGTTAAACTGTCAATTGAGTCGGCTCTTATGCTGTCCCTAGAAATTTGGTTTCCCATGAGTATGGTTCTCATCGCTGGATATCTCAAAGATCCTGTTACTGCTGTTGGATCCCTCTCTATTTGGTGAAGTCTTGTGTCTAATTTCTTTCCCCATTTAGTTATTATGATTATTCTGCAATGCTTTTGTATTTGCTTGACTTGAACAACTGATCAAACATATCAATTTTTGTCATCTGTCAGTTCAACTCTTAGTGAATGGCAAGAAATGTTTTTTGTCGGAATCAACGCTGCCATAAGGTAATGAAACCCTTGCGTTGTAATTTGTTTGAGTTTGTGGTTAATGTATTGTTGTATTCCCAGTGTTCGGGTCTCAAATGAGCTTGGGCTAGGACATGCCAGGGCGACCAAGTATAGTGTCTATGTCACACTAACTCAGTCAGTTTTCATTGGGATTCTCTGCATGATTGTAGTATTGGCAGTAAGAAATCATCTTGCCATTCTTTTCACGGACGACAAGGTTTTGATCAAATCTGTTTCTGAGCTTGCTCAGTTTCTTGGATTAGCAATGCTACTCAGCAGTGTCCATCCTGTGATATCAGGTGTGGTTTGTTTGCTCTTTCGTTGTTCTTGTTCCTATAGTTAAAACCTCAATAGTGTGACAATGATCTTTTTGGGTTGCAGGTGTTGCTATTGGATGTGGGTTGCAAGGTGTAGTGGCTTATATAAATTTGGGTTCTTTCTACGCTTTTGCTATTCCTCTCGGATATGTTCTTGGTTATGTGGCTAACTTGGGAGTCATGGTAACTAACTTTTAAGTCTGTATTTGCTTTTGTTGGTTTCTTCTTCTCTTGTTACATTTTTTTATGTTGCAGGGACTATGGGGAGGAATGATAGCTGGACTTGCTTTGCAAACATTGCTACTCTCAATTGTACTCTATAGAATTGATTGGAATAAAGAGGTACGTACGTCAACTGCGTATTTCTTATCCACTCCTAAACTCAACAACAAATCTTTTTCAAAATCATCGCAAGTAATAGTGTAGAAAATGGAATGGAAATGCAGGTTGAGCAGACGACAGAACGGATGCGGATATGGGGAGATCAAGAATTAGAAACGGAGAAATTTAAACGCTAAATTTCTATAGAACTAAGATGTATGCATAACCCAAATCCACAATTTTGTTACTTGTATGTCAATATATATGGGTACACACTTGACATTATTAGGGAACGATTTATAGCAGATGACTTCTCCTTTTCTTCAAATATTTTCAAACTTCAAAAGATGTAATCTTTCATAATATTTTATAAAGAAAAAGGTTTTCTTTAAAGTTTTAATTTATCCACGGATAGAATTAAAAGCAATGAAAGAATTATACTATAAAAATTTTAACAAAAAGGGCCTAAAATACCCTTAAAGTGTTGAAAATAATATTTAATATTTTTCATCTACCTATTCGCTTCAAAATGTCCTTTTCATCCACCTACTGGCTCCAAAACACTCTCTTGTCATCCACCTTTGATTCAAAATTGACCACTTTTTTAATTGTTTAAAATTAAACTCTTTAAAAAAATTTAAAATACTTGGCGTTCAACTATTGATTATGATTTTAATTTATTAATATAATATATAAACCAACCCACTATTCACTCATTACTAACTAAACCTCACCCAATTAATAATCCAATTATAATATCAAAATCGCCATAAACACTACTAAAACATGATGAAATTATAAATTCCTGAAAATGACATCCAAAATTATTCGAGTCCAAATCGAAGCCTCAATTAAATTTAGGTTGAGCCGCTTACTTAGATAGACACTTTTTTTCAAAATTGATTAGAAATTTATGATTAAAGGTAAAGAAGTAACATCCCGAATTAATTTCATGTGCTTTTTTAAAATATGATTTTATAAATATTTATGATTTGTTTTAAAACCTTTAATATATTATTTTGAAAAAAAGTTAACATCACATAATTGAGACGTAACAATAATTAAGATGAACATAATCAGACTTTTAAATTTATTGGTGATTTTTAATTTAGACACTTGAATGTATGATAATTTACTTCGATAAATATTTTCGTCTCAAATTTTTAAAAACATTCAATTGGCAGTAGCTTGCATTAATAATGTGACGGATTTATTAATTTAGAAGGGTTTAATTAGTAATGAGTGGGTAGTGAATTGATTTATAAATTACACTAATAACTGAAATTATAACAACTAGTTGAGCGCCACGTATTTTAAAAAATATTTAAACAATTTAAATATAAAACCATTAAATAAGTAGTCAATTTTGAACCAAAAAGTGGATGACAAGGTATTTTGAACAAAAAAGTGGATGACAAGGTATTTTGAATCCAATAGATGGACGAGAAGGATATTTTGAAGTTAATTGGTGAATGAAAGATAATTTTATAACATTTTTGATATTTTAGAAATATTTTAAGCTCTTTTTTAATATTTTAAATTATAATATATTATTAATTTTTATATTATTGATCTTTGTACCAAATCAAACGAAGACAGCGACTTACTTAAAATGCAGTAAACAGCTTTAAAGATGAGTAGTCAACAGCTTTAAAGATGAGTAGTCCGTGATAAAGATTCGTTGGTGGTCAATTTCATTATGATTTTATTAGTACCAGTACTATTTAAATGATTTTACAAATTTACTTTTCAATTTTTTTTTTAGAAATTTTACAAATAAATGTAAATATTTTAAAAATGAAATTAATTATAAGAATGATATAAAAAAAAAAACCTAATCAATATTTTTAATTTAATAAATTAATAGACTAATATGAAATAACTATAAGAGATAAAAGAGTAACACTATGTTTGGATCATACGGTAGATACAATGTTTAGCTATATTGTATTGTTTGTTATTATTTAATAACATTTGTATTATTTAATTTGACTAAAAATTCTTAATTATTTTAGTATAGAAAGTTTTACTTAAATTAAATAATCTAGAATTATATAATACTCCTATTACGTAACAATATAATTAAAAAAAATTAATTAACAATAAAAAATACATCAAATTGATTTATATTTAGTACTATTTGTATTATTTTACTACTTTGACTTATTTACGGAATTGTCCTGTAGTATACTATCTTTTTAACTTTTAGTACTATTTGTATTATTTTACTTTTTAATAGTTTGTGTATGAGATTTTTTGATATAATACAGTAAGTCGGAGCATAATCGGCGGTCATACTAGAAATAGTAAATGGAATCGCCGTTGCTGTCCGGCGTCGACAATCGGCAGCAGCTCATTGGAGCTGACGGCGACTATCGACCCATTAATGGACTGAAAGAATGGAGGGCTGTATTCTGGATGGAGACAGTGAAGTTATGGGAGATTGGAGGTCCAATTGCTTTCAATATTCTTTGTCAGTATGGGATCTACTCAATTACCGTAGCTTTTTGTGGTCATCTTGGTGCTGTTCAGCTCTCTGCCGTTTCTGTTGCTCTAAATGTCGTTGGAACTTTCTCTTTCGGCTTCATGGTTTGTATTCTCTCTGTTGCTCTGGGAGTCTTGCTAGTGAAAATGTTTTTCTTTTTTACTTTATTTGGTATATTTTTTGAGTTGGAATTGTGTTTGTTGTACTGAATATTTAGAATTTGGATGTACTATTTCAAATATGCTCTAAGAATAGTAATATACTAGCTATTATCATCTGAACTTTTCATATCACCGAACATTGATATTCGAATAAAATTTTGTGTAGTTGGGCATGGGGAGTGCTCTGGAGACGCTGTGTGGACAGGCATTTGGTGCTGGGCAAATACATATGCTTGGGATTTACGCACAACGGTCTATGGTTATTCTATTGTTTAGTACATTGTTTTTGTTGCCAATTTATATTTTTGCAACTCCACTGCTTAAGCTTTTAGGCCAAGAACATGATATGGCTGTTCTTGCTGGGAAATTTGCCCTGTTTTCAATCCCTGAGTTGTTTTCACTGGCGGTTGGTATTCCCACCTCGAAATTTCTTCAAGCACAGAGTAAAGTTGGTGTGCTGGCTTGTATTGGTTTTGTGGTTCTTTTACTCCATGCCTTTCTGCTATGGTTGTTCTTATATGTGTTCAACTTGGGTATAAATGGGGCTGCGTTAGTCTTTAATATTACAGGTTGGGCCAATGCAATAGCTCAATTTGTCTACGTGGTAGTTTGGTGTAAGGATGGATGGACGGGATGGTCTTTGTCAGCATTGAATGAGATTTGGGCATTTGTTAGACTCTCGGTTGCCTCGGCTGTTATGTTATGCCTTGAAATCTGGTACATGATGAGTATTATTGTTCTCACCGGACAACTCAAGGATGCAGTTATTGCTGTTGGATCCCTCTCTATTTGGTGAGTTTTGCGTCTTTCTTTTTCTTTTCTTTTATAAAGGTAGTGTCCAGCCAACTTGCATGCAACTCACCTGTTGTCTTCGCATTAGCACATGTATCAAGTGCTCTGTCTAACAAGACTTAGCGAGATAACAAAATTCATTTTGTATTTGGTTATCATTGTTCTTTTTCATCTGTAATTGACAATTTTAGGACAGGATAGTTAGCTGGACCTACATCTTTATCAAGATTTAGTTTACTTAAAGTACTGAATTCTAAGCTGGAATGTGTAATTGATTGAATTTGTAAATTAGATTGTCATGTACAAAGTTTGCGGTTTTGTGCATAGCTTTTGATGAGATGAAAAGCTCCTTTATCATGAATCAATCGAACCTTTGTCTTTCTGTTTTGTGTTTCAGCATGAATATTGATGGATGGGAAGCAATGTTGTTCATAGGAATCAATGCTGCCATAAGGTAATTAAGTCTAAGTTCTTGTGGAAAAATGTACTCTATTTGTTTTTGAGTTTGTTTTAATGCATCATTGCTCTCTCAGCGTACGAGTCTCAAATGAGCTTGGGTTAGGGCGTCCCAGGGCAACCAAATACAGTGTATATATCGCAGTGTTTCAATCACTCCTCATTGGGATATTCTGCATGATATCAGTACTAGCAGTAAGAAATCATCTGGCCATTCTTTACACAAACAGCAGGGATTTGCAACGAGCCGTTGCTGACCTTGCTTGGCTTCTTGGAATAACCATGGTTCTTAACAGTGTTCAGCCTGTAATATCAGGTGTTGCTTTTATTCCATTTTTACTGTTTCTATGTTTAAAGTGTGTTCGTCTTTGTAGTCCTTATTGTGGCAAGTAATGTTTTGCAGGTGTTGCTATTGGAGGTGGATGGCAAGGTTTAGTCGCATATATCAATTTGGGATCTTACTATGTTTTTGGTATTCCTCTAGGATATACACTTGGTTATGTCGCTAACTTTGGCGTCATGGTAATTAAACTTCCATTTTGAAAGTTACAATTTTTAATTTCACTCCACATTTTGAGGCATCTTCTATAGGAAACTCTTCCTTTTAGTATCTCATACTTTTTAATTGTCTTGCAGGGACTATGGGGAGGAATGATTGCAGGACTTGCTTTGCAGACACTGCTTCTCTCATTTGTACTCTATAGAATCGATTGGAATAAAGAGGTAAGTGAAACATTCTGGTTACAAATAAAATTATCCGTTCCTCTTTCTTTGAAAATTACAGACGAAACAATACTAGTTAAATTCTTAGTTTGTTACAGATTTTGTTGAACCTTCCCTTCCCTTTCCTTTCGATATGATTAAGTCATGTGTAATAATAAGAAAATGAAATGCAGGTTGAGCAGTCTGCAGAGCGCCTACGCAAGTGGGGAGGTCAAGACTTTGAATCTGAGAAAACTCTTATTTCAGAGCCTACGAAGGACTTACCATAAGAGAAACATTTTGTGGTGATATCAAATGATGATTTTTGGATAGGATCTACGTGTTGTAAGACGTGGAGCCTAAATCCATGTTAGATGCCACGGTGGATGACAGCTAGGCCAAAGGGGAAATTATTAGTCGTACACGGGTAAAATATGAATCAAAAAGGTGAATTGATTTTGTAGGTGATCAGGCTAAAGATACTCTTAACATCGTGAGTTGGGAGTACTGTTAGTTTTAATAGTAACGTAGCTGCGATTTAGAGCGGTAGGCTAAGATGTATGTTGTTGTGCACTTACTCTTCCCTTTGTTATCTCTTTTGAGTTTGTAACATTACATTTAAACATGATGTTAATTCACACCTTTGTTGCTCCTATTTTCTTTCCTGTTGCAGAAAACCTCTTTATCTTCTTCTTTTAACACATTATGATAAAAGGTTTAGGCATGATTTCTAAGTGTATATTTACAACCAAAACATAAAAATTATGTGAAGGACTGAGACAACAATTATAATCACTCTTATCTAAAGAAAAACAACTCTAAATTTGTATTTTTTGGAAACTCTAAAATCTAAATTGAGCTTTTGTTTCAATTCTGAGCCATTAACCAAGTGTTATGAAGACACTTTTGAGTAGAGTACACAACGATGAGTTCGATTGAATTTTTTTATTCAATTGAGAAGGATCTAACAAAATATTGCAAAAATGTAATAAACATGAAATATACGAAAAATAAACTAACGTATTAACCTGAGAAACGGTCAAATATTGTTTGTCATTCGGCAATAATATGAATAAACAATACTCCGTCCGTTCAGAAATGTTTGTCATGTTATGCTTATCGAAAGTCAATTTGACTAATTTTCAAAGGTAAATTAGATCACATTAATTCGATGTTTTAAACAAAAAAATTAGATGTTCTAAAACTATATGAAATTACTATAAATTACAACTTTTTCATATTGATATGATGAAAAAATGCATCTTAAAATATTAATCAAAAATTTTATAATTTAACTCTAAAAATAGAAACCATTACAAACAATACCGGACAAAGAGCGGAATAATGAATAATAAATTAAATGTTCAAATTTCTTTCAAATATTTTTCTTGGGAAGCAACTTTTTTTTTTTTGGAATTGGGAAGCAACTTTGGGTATGCGTAAAAATACTAAATAGGCATTTGATCAGGTAATTTCATATAGTGAGATGAAATATTATTTGTACGTGCTATTTTATGTTGACATTATCTCATGATATTTTAAATTCTCTAAAAATTATAATTTGAAATTTTTTTTCAAATACAAAAATTGACTCAGAAGTATATATTTTGTAAAAATAACATATTTAATTTATCTAAATTTAGTAGCCATTTATTTCATCTATAAATAAAATTTACAGTTCATATCATTACTTTTTAAATTATTTATGTCTGATATAACAATTATTTTCGCTAAAATTTATTTTTATTTCAAATCAATTCTTAATTTACCAATTTTCTTATTTTTCATTAAATTCATTACCGCTTCATTCAAATCAATTTTTAAAGAGCTTTGTGATAATGTATTATGTGATTTTATAAACTTTTACTTATTTAGTAAGATTGTAAACATCAAAATAATTTTAGTAATTTTACAATTAATGATTTTTATATTTATAAAAAAAATGCCATATGAAAGTCTAAAACACATATCTACATAAAATTTCAATTTCATATGACGTGATTAAACAATTCTTTATAAAAATATTTGTAATAAACAAATATAAATCAAAACAAATGATATATATTATAACTCAAAAATAAAGTATGTCTTAATACACATGGAAAAACCTTAAAAGTCAGACAAAAATTTCTTCATAAACCAATTTTTAGTTCCGTAATTTTTAATTTGTAATGCAAAATCCATGAGAACTTAAAATAAAATTTATGTCTTTTAATATGTAAAGGCCTCAAAAATCAATGATTTTTTTTTTCATTTGTCAGCTGATGTAATGATTCGTGTATTATTCATATAATAATGTAAAATGAAAAAATCATCCAAAAGTATGTCTTAAAACAGGCTGTTCGGACTAGGGATGTGCATTATTTGGATTAAATTAAAAAATTTAACTAAATTAAATTGAATTCTAGTTTGAATTATTTTTTTAGATTTTTGGTTTGATTTTGAATTTATAATTTACCTTGTTTGGATTTTTGGTTTGTTTCGGATTAAGAAAAATGATAATAGAAAAACCTGTGTGTAACCACTTATGCCCCTTTTTAGTTATTTTCATTATGATTTTAGTTTATTTTCTTATGTTTATAATTGATATATTTTTAAGTATTATGTTTTACGTTTTACTTGTGATTTATATTAAAAATTATATTTAAGAAATGTAATATTAATATATATATATATATTAAATTGTCAGTATAGCTTTATTATATTTCTAATTATTGACATAACCGATCAACCAAATCGAAAAATTCAAATCAAATCAAATCAAATTTATTTTGGTTCGAATTAGGTTACACTTCTTCAAAATAAAAAACTAAAAATTTAAATTAAATAATATAAAATCAAATTGAAAAGCCGAATGCACACCCCTAATCTGGAAAAACAATGAAGTTCATTCTGTAATACACAATTATTATTTTTTTTAAAAAAAATCTAAAAAGGAAGCAATAATTGATAGAAAAAAGAAAAAGAAATAAACAATAAACCAAGGACATACACAAATTAAAGCAGCAATAATAATAACAAAACAACAATAATTGATAGAACAACATATAACAAAAAAATAAACCAAAGACAGACACACAGAAACAACAAAAAATGATTAAAAACAGCAAAATAACAATAATTAAAATATAAACAATAACAAATATTTTCTAATTGAGAATCTTCTTCACATATTGTAACGTATTCATCAAAACTCAAAAGAATATGAATAAGAAAATCTTTTTTTTTTTTTTTATGTTTGTAGCTTACACGCTAAATTGTTATACTCTGGATAATGTATTTTTGTGTTTAAATAATCCATAGAAAATAGAGTTTCATTTGTATCTCAAAAAATAATGAATTTATTAATAATTGTATCAATATAATTAAAAAAATATTATTCAACTAAATCTTATATTTATTTTAGCAATGATTTATGGAAAAATGACCTAAGTACGCATTTTATTTAACATGATTTCTAAAATTCTCTATCATTTAAAAAAAATTCAAAATTTTTATCTCAAATATATCACTCTCCTCTTGTTGATACATCCTATATATTTTCCTCTTTTGATACTTGTATCACCAATCTGTATGAATGTCTATTGATATATCCTAAAATTATATATATATATATATATATATATATATATATATATATATATATATATATATCCTATCCCCTCTTTAATATATCTCATCTCGGATACATTTTTCACCTATGTATTCGGATATCTGCTGACGTATCCAAAATTCATAATTTGTAATTTGAAAAAAAAAGAAAAAAAAATAGTTGGAGTAGCTCTTAACACTATTAGTTTATGTAATTTATACAAAATTTATACTTCATCTTTCTCAATTTATGTGGCACTTTTCATTTTTCGAGAGTCAAACAGTTTGAATTTGACGAAAAATTTGCGCATGGAATCTTCAATTTTTTTTGAAATGAAATTCATATATTTGTAAGTTACGTAAAAAGAAATACTATAACTCACAATAATTGATAATTCAAAATGTTTAAAATATCTATGAAAAAATTTACGATCAAAGATAGACTTGTTTGAATCTCGAACTCTGAAAAAGATGTCACATTAAATGAGACGAATTTAACAACAAACATTTTATATACTACATACTATTTTATAATTAGCACGACACACACGTCTGTACATTTCCATCCCTACCCTTGACCTGCTCCTCCACCCCTTACTAGCCTCGACCCCGAAAAAGAAATATTTAAGTTAATTTTTAAAAAATATTTGAACTTTCAAATTTCATTTTTTTTTCATCCCTATCCTCGACCCCCCACCCACCCCCTACCAGCCCCCTCATTCCCGAAAAAAAAATTGAGTTTGTTTTTAAAAAATATTTTCAATTTCAAAATTTTATTTTTTCACCCTACCCCCCTCTCCCCAACCCCGAAAAAAAATTTAAGTTTTTTTTTTTTTTACTTTTATGATAGAATAAAATTAAATGAAGCGTTTTCAACATTTTACATCTAAAAAAAAAGATTAAAATATTTTCTCCGTGTTAATTTTTAAGTAGAGTACTATTTACTCATGAAAATATGAGTAAACTAGTATTTTACCCAACTCATTTGTTATCCAATTCATTTTTACCCATATCATATATGGATGAGTTGAATTATTATCCATTTTATGTTGACCCATTTTCAACCAACCCAAATTTGATCCAACCCGTCCATTTACCACCGCTAAATATGACTAATATTTCAACTTCTAAAAAGTAGCAAACTTAAATAACTTGCATGATACATGCAATCAAATATTTGGTATAAAAGGTAAATGTTTTCCTAGATAATATTGGAAAAATAAGTTGGTTTTAACTTATTTTCTCATGTTTGATTGGTGATTGAAAAATATTTTTAATTATTTAGTTGGTGAATGAAAAATATTTTTTAGAAAATATCTTCTATTTTTTGCTAGAAAGTAGAAAATATTTTTTTTAAGGAAAATAGACTCTAACCCGAGAATGAACTCGGATACTTGAACTAGAACATGACCCCGACGATTGATCCAGGATCCAACACTAAGATGTGACCCAGGACTTGACCTCGACTCTCGATTGTGCCCCGATAATTGAACTAGGATCCGACCAAGGATTTTACCTCGACCCTGATCTACCACCGACATTAACAATAGTCTTGTTCCTTAAACCCAACTCCTCTAACATCCACATCTGACCGCAAGGATTGATTCAAGATCTGATCTCAACACCTGACCTAGGATTCGACCCCAATTTTGGACCCAACACTGAACTTCTGAACCCGACTCTAACCCTGACATTTGGCATGGGATTCAACTTTCGAATCAAGACCCGATCCAAGATCGAATTTTGAACCGGGACCTAATTTTTAAATCACGACTTGACCTAGAAACTCGATGTAGGACATAATTTCCAAATAGAGACCCTACCCGACACCCGACTCGGGACTCAGTTTCGACACTTGATGTAGGACCCAACTTTCAAATTAAGATCTAACCTCGACTCTCGATCAATGACCCAACCTCGACGTCCGAACTTGGATCTGAGCTCCACTACCCGGACAATCAATTCAAAACCCGAACCTGACATCCGACCTGGAGCCAACCTCAACTCTTGACCTAAGACTCGCCTTTCGAATTGAGACTCGATACCCACACCCAACATGGGACTTGACTCTGAAACCTGATTTCTGAATTGAGACATGACCCTGAGATTATATGAGGACTCGAATTCCGAACCGAAATGCTACCTCAATATATGACCTCAACATTGACCCTAACTATCTCTTAACGACTCGAACTTGAATATAACGTGGGACCCGACCTTGACTACGTCTCTGACACCCAACTCAAAAACTCCAACCTGACACCTGACTCAAGACTCGACCTAGATATATGATCTAGGATTAGACCTCAAATCCTAACCTGGGACTCGACACCCAAAATGGGATCTAATCCGATTTGAGACTCCATTTGAGGCCAAAATTCAAGAATCATGAGTTTGATTCCAAATTTGTATCAGAAATCAATACCCAAAACTTGACTTAGGGAGGAAAGTTGAGGTGTGCGGTTGAAAATAAGTTGTTCAATGTTTTCCTTATTATTATATTTTTTGGAGGTGAATCATTTTTCTTAAATTTGAAGAAAATAAGTTGAACATTTAAGTCCTCTAATTCAACCAAACATGAGAAAATTAGAAAATATTTTCTACCAAACACAAAAAAGTAGTAATATCTAAGGTATATTATGTTATAGATTGTATACGAGCTACTACATATTATTATTAATAGTCTTTTCACTTTATTGGAAACTTTTGAAGTTAGAGTTGAACATAGAATTGTGTTTGATTAAGTTTTTGCAAAATTTGAAAATTTTCACTATCAAATACTTGATTTTCAAATAAAGTGAAATCTGTTGTAAAATTTGTGCAGTTGGGCATGGGGAGTGCTCTGGAGACACTGTGTGGACAGGCATTTGGTGCTGGGCAAATACATATGCTTGGAATTTACACACAACGGTCTATGGTTATTCTATTGTTTAGTACATTCCTTCTATTACCAATTTATATATTTGCAACTCCGTTACTTAGACTTTTTGGCCAAGATCATGAAATGGCTGTTATTGCTGGGAAATTTGCTCTGTTGTCAATCCCTGAGTTATTTTCACTGGCAGTTGCTATTCCGGCCTCGAAATTTCTGGCTTGTATTGGTTTTGTGGTTCTTTTACTCCATGCCTTTCTGCTATGGTTGTTCATATATGTATTCAACTTGGGCATAAACGGGGCAGCGTTAGTCTTTAATATCACAGGTTGGGCCAATGCAATAGCTCAATTTGTGTACGTGATAATTTGGTGTAAAGATGGATGGACGGGATGGTCTTTGTCGGCATTGAATGAGATTTGGGCATTTGTTAGACTCTCGATCGCCTCAGCTGTTATGTTATGCCTTGAAACCTGGTACATGATGAGTATTATTGTCCTCACCGGACATCTCAAGGATGCGGTTATTGCTGTTGGATCCCTCTCTATTTGGTGAGTTTTTATTGTCGCCTAAATTGTCATGTGCATAGATGATATTAAATGTCTTCAGCTCCTTCATCAAGCATGTATCGGTTCTTTTCTTTTTGTCTTTCAGCATGAATATTGATGGATGGGAAGTAATGTTGTTCATTGGAATCAATGCTGCCATAAGGTAATTTAAGTCTAAATTCTTGTAGAAAAATGTACTTCATATGTTTCGGAGTTTGTTTTAATGCATTTTCTCTGTCTCAGTGTTCGCGTCTCAAATGAGCTCGGGCAAGGGCACCCCAGGGCTACGAAATATAGTGTATATATCACAATGTTCCAATCACTCCTCATTGGAATACTCTGCATGATATCAGTACTGGTAGTAAGAAATCATCTATCCGTTCTTTTCACAAATAGCAAGGATCTGCAACGAGCCGTTGCTGACCTTGCTTGGCTTCTCGGAATAACCATGGTTCTTAATAGTGTTCAGCCTGTAATATCAGGTCTTGCTTTTATTTCGCTTTTACTATTTCTATGGTTAAAAGTGTGTGTTAAACCCTTATTAACATTGTTTTGCAGGTGTTGCTATTGGAGGTGGATGGCAAAGTTCAGTGGCTTATATCAATTTGGGATGCTACTACGTTTTTGGTATTCCTCTTGGATGTGCGCTTGGTTATGTCGCTAACTTTGGCGTCGTGGTAAATAACCACTTTGTTTTAATATCTCACAATGCAACTTTTTTTTACTTTGACAGAAACTTTTACCTAGCAGGGTCTATGGGGAGGAATGATAGCAGGACTTGCCTTGCAAACACTGATACTTTCATTCGTAATCTATAGAATTGATTGGAACAAAGAGGTAACTGAAATGATATTTTGTTTTTATGTTCAATTTTTTTAAAAAAAAGTTCATTGCAAAACAGTATGTAGTAATAAATATGAAAATTTAAATATGCAGGTTGAGCAATCGGCAGAGCGCCTTCGCCGGTGGGGTGGTCAAAACTTAGAAGCTGAAAAAACTCTTAATTCAGAGCCTGCGAAGGACTTATTACATTTGCCATAACAAATTAACATTTTGCGTATTGACATTACAGGGGAAATTATTGTAAATCACAGACAATTTGATTCTACAGTTGAATAGCCTTTTAAGAAAAGATTGTATTAACGTCGTTTATATTTTATCCTTTTAACGGGTCGTTTGATTGAAAATAAGTTATTTCAAGATAAATTATTATGGGATTAGCTATCCTGAGATAACTTATCTCATAAGTATGGTATAAATGGTTGGATAAGTTATCTCAAACATGACAACCAAACAAGAAACAGAAACTTGATCCCATCAATAGTAATTTTTTTATCTCATCATTATTTATTTTTATTCTCTCACACCAAGCGATCCTGATTGTCCATTATTTAAACACCATTTCTCAATTGAGTTTCTTCCATCTCTCTTAAACGTTCTTTGGTACTTAATTTTCTTTCTATTTAATTTAAATTCTAGCTTTTTGTTTGGTATTTGAAAAACTTATTAAATGACAGAAAATATATTTATATGGAGTGAAATACTTTTAAGGATAATGTTTAACATGGAGCAAACTTTGCTGAATTCCATATCGTTAGGACTGAACAACTATTTAAAACACATATGAACATTTTATCATATTTTTATTTATTGCACATTTTCAAACTCTATAAAATAAGTATAAAAATTTCATATATTTTTTAAAATATCTTCTATTTTATTCAAAACTAATTTTAATGATTAAATATTTAAAATAAGTCAATCTGACTCGAGAAAAATGAAAAAAAAAAAAGAAGAAACCAGTACTTCAAAACAACCAAACCAAAGTAAAGAAGGCGCGGAGCATTTTTCGCCACCGATTATATTTTATAAAAATAAATTATTTTGACATATTTTTGTTGCCTTTTTTTGTACTATTAACTTCCATCTTTGTTACAATTCAACACTTTAATGCTGAATATGACATATAATACAAGCAAAACGTAACGTCCAAGTAATGGAAACGCCATTTCTGCATGACTTCTCCGGCTACCACAACCGGCTTGTTGGTCACGACGGTGATTACCGACCGGTTGAAGACCTGAAAGAATGGTGGATTGTATTCTGGATCGAGACAGTGAAGCTATGGGAGATTGGAGGCCCAATTGCTTTCAATGTCCTTTGTCAATACGGGACCTACTCCATTACCGTTGCTTTTTGTGGTCATCTTGGTGCTGTTGAGCTCTCTGCTATTTCTGTTGCTCAAAACGTTATTGGTACTTTCTCTTTTGGCTTCATGGTTCGTAACTTCTCATATATTATCTGCTCGATCCAACTTTCATTGTTGATTATATAAATTAGAAATTAAAATGCATGCTCACAACAATTTCCGGTGAATTTTCCGGCAATAATGATTTTCTAAGATGTAGCGGTATAATTGAATGAGTGTGTGTAATACGAAACAATATAAAGTCACTTTGGTTCCTAATTTATTCAACTTGAGTTAATATTTGAGAAAATTTAACAATTCTCTTTCGGCTTCATGGATCGTATTTCTGTTTTTCCTTTGCTACTGATTATTCTGTAATTCTAGTTTCTTATTTGGGAATTTGTGTAGTTGGGCATGGGGAGTGCGCTGGAGACACTGTGTGGACAGGCATTTGGTGCTGGGCAAATACATATGCTTGGGATTTACACACAGCGGTCGATGGTTATTCTGTTGTTTAGTACATTCCTTCTGTTGCCAATGTATATTTTTGCAACTCCGCTGCTTAAGTTCTTAGGCCAAGAACATGAAATGGCTGTTCTTGCTGGGAAATTTGTCCTGTTGTCAATTCCCGAGTTGTATTCACTGGCGGTCACTATTCCCACTTCAAAATTTCTCCAAGCCCAAAGTAAAGTTCGTGTGGTGGCTTGGATTGGTTTTGTGGATCTCTTACTCCATGCTCTTCTGCTATGGCTGTTCATATATGTATTCAAGTTGGGTACAGATGGGGCTGCATTAGCATTTAATATTACGGGCTGGGCGGACGCAATAGCTCAATTTATTTACGTGGTTGGTTGGTGTAAGGATGCATGGACGGGATGGTCTTTGTCGGCATTAAATGAGATTTGGGCATTTGTTAGACTCTCAGTTGCTTCAGCTGTCATGTTATGCCTTGAAATGTGGTATATGATGAGTATTATTATACTTACTGGACATCTCAAGGATGCAGTTATTGCTGTTGGATCCCTCTCTATTTGGTGAGTTTGTGTCCTTTTTCTCTTTTCTTTTACAATGGCAGTGTAAAGCCAACTTGTGTGTAGATCGCCTGTTTAACCAATGTGCCGAGAACTCTGTCTAACAAGACTTAGACAGATGGGTAAAAGTTCATTTTTGCATTTGTTTATCGACATTAACCTCTCAATGATTAAGCCCATTCAAATAAATTTTAACACTCACTGACAGTGAAGCATCAACTTTTATCAACAGGCACTTTATTTAGAGAATAGAAAGAATTCTAAGTTTAACTGTCTTGTGCTAAGTTTGTGGTTTAGTGTACAGATTTCAATAAGATGAAAATGTTGTACTACTTTTATTAAACATGCATCAATCTTTTTGTTCTCTTTCTTTTCGTCTTTCAGTATGAATGTTGATGGATGGGAAGAGATGGTGTTTATTGGAATCAATGCTGCCATAAGGTAATTAAGTCTAAAAGCTTGTGGCAAAATGTACTACATTTATTTTTGGGGTTTGTTTTAATGCATTGTCTCTCTCTCAGTATTCGAGTCTCTAATGAGCTTGGGCTAGGTCATCCCAGGGCTACCAAATATAGTGTATATATCACAGTGTTTCAGTCACTCCTCATTGGGATACTCTGCATGATAATTGTACTGGCCGTAAAAAATCATCTAGCTATTTTTTTCACAAACAGCAAGGATTTGCAACAAGCCGTTGCAGATCTTGCTTGGCTTCTTGGAATAACCATGCTTCTTAACAGTGTTCAACCTGTAATATCAGGTATTGCTTTTATTCCAACTTCACTGTTTCTATGGTTAGAAGTGTGTTCGTCTTTGTAGTCCTTATTGTGGCAAATATATTGTTTTACAGGTGTTACTATAGGAGGTGGATGGCAAGGTTTAGTGGCCTATATCAATCTAGGATCCTACTATGTTTTTGGTATTCCTCTGGGATATTTGCTTGGTTATGTGGCTGACTATGGAGTCGTGGTAAATAAACTCTCGTTCCGATAGTTACATATGACAAATACATCAAATTTTAATCTCACTCGACATTTATAAGCATCTTATTATAGGAAACACCTTGTTTTAGCATCTCATAACTTTTTGAACCTAAAATAATTATGATAGAAATTTAACTTATCCCAATTATGAATTTATCTTGCAGGGACTATGGGCAGGAATGATAGCAGGACTTGCTTTGCAGACACTGCTACTCTCCTTTGTACTCTATAGAATTGATTGGAATAAAGAGGTAAGTTAAACAGTTGATGATTTTCTCTAACTAAACTCCAAAAAATTGTGCTTGGTATTAGATGCACGTCCTCTGTAAAATGATTATCTCGTAGCGTAAGAATTTTGTTTGAAAGTCACTGCACAGAGGGTGAATTTTCTATTTCTCCTCTTCTCTTTGAAAAAAGTTGCAGACGAAGCAAAACTAGTTGCACTTATTTTGTTGCAGATTGTGTTTCGGTATGATGAAGTCTGTCATGTGTAATAATAGAAAAAATGAACTGCAGGTTGAGCAATCGGCAGAGCGCCTACGCAAGTGGGGAGGTCAAGACTTTGAAGCTGAGGAAAGTCTTATTCCAGAGCCTACGAAAGCCTTACCATAAGAGTGAGATTTTGCAGTGACTTCAGAGGATGAAGAGTCTTTATCTTTGTTTTTTTGTTAACCAGTTAATGACAACTAGACCAGGCTAGTATATACTCTAACATTGTGACTTGTGAGTTGGGGCTATTAGTTTTAACAGGAATGTAGCTGCAATTTAGAACATTAGGCTAATATGTTTGTTTGTTTTGCTCTTTCACCATCCTCACACTTTTGATTCGCAAACTCCATTTTTCAAACATAAAATTGATTCAACTAAGAGATATCCTTTCAAATAACTTGTGTCATTCTTTTGGGGCAATGAATTAGGTGTAAACCTTCCCCTTTCTTGACAACAATAATATATTCGGTGTAATTTCACGTGTAGAGTTTTAGAGGTTTAATATATAAAACTAGCCTTTTTCTATATTGTGAAGGTAAGAAATTGGTTTTCTATAGCTCAAGTGATTACGGAAACAAATAAGTTGTTCTGATAATAATCACGAATGTAAAACAATTACTTAGAATCGAATATAACTTATTTTTGCAAATACAAATGCTCAAAGGACAGAGGATAAAATTGTTTAAATAAAAAGAGTACTTCCATGACTATTATAAAAAACATATAATTACATTGATTTTGATTAGTTAAATTACGACAATTTAAAAAGTTATTATGCTATTTATAGGTAGAATAGTTGAAACTCTTATAAATTGTCTAGTTTTGGTTAATGTCTAGCTAAATTTTAGGTTGGCTTAATTTGGTAATTTGGTAGTCTAAACCTTCTTACTTCTTAGACGTTGATGTATGCACTCTCATTTATGCGTGTGAGAAGGAAGAAAAATAAAATAGTTTTCAAGGGGAGGATTGGCGCGTCGGCGATCCAAAAATTTGCTGCGCTCAAATCGCACACGCAAATACATGTAATCGTTTAAGTATTAAAGTGATTTTTTCTAAAAGCCGAATATTGTGCCCACAGAAACTTACGCTTAAAATCACTCAATTTCTCTAACTTTCAAAACACAAATGTATTCAAAATTTTAAAAGTAATTTAGTTTCTAATTCTTAAGTTGTAAGGAACAATGTAACAAACGCGACTCAATTTCAAGGGTTAATGAAAGAGTGATTGAGTAAAGTTCAGGGCTGCAACTTTTATCAGGAATCATTTAATCAATATTATTTATAATTCCTAGAATTTGAATTCACAAGCGAAATTATAATTCCTCTTTGCTACACGGAGTGGATACAGAGATGCTTAAGTGACATTTCTTCAACCTTCTTCCTTGCTTTTTTTCGACTAGAATCTTTTGTGTACCTCATTGTCATTTTTTTTGCTCGTTTCTCCCATTAAGCTCACCTACATAACTAATCATGTTGTTAGCTTGTAAACCACTAAAAGACTTAATAAAACTATAAACAAACACATTAAATCCAAGCTTAACTTAAATTACGAGGATTGTTTAGATTTCTAGGCATATAAATATAAGGATATTTTCAACTATTAAATTGCCACGTAAAAATTCGTATAAAAAATGAAAAAAGAGGAATAATTAATAACTAAAATAAGGAAATCTTAGTCGGTTGGAATTGGTAAAGGATATGTTTTCTTTGACGCTAAGTCACCTTCCGAAAATCTATATAAACCTAAAAAAAAACTTCCTTTAATTCGCAATTTTTTCTCCGTTAGCAATTTCAATCTGCTCTAGGGTTCCTGCTGCTCGTAATCGCCATTTCAAATCCGATCATGTTTTCCTGATTTTGAAGAACCAGTGGTTGATTCAATCGCCGTCTTGAACCATCGGCGTTTTCGTGGTTGTTCGTTCGTCCGTCCGGATTTGAAACCCTAGCTGCAAAGTGCCGATTTGAAGCCTGTTTGAAGATTCTTTGATTTAGCTTGTTTAGTGTTGTTTTGGTACAAATTTACTCTCTGTTTTGTATTCAATAGTTGATTAGATCTGTTACTGTGTTGTATATTTGATAGAATTGTTATTCAGTAATGGCAATTTATTTCAAGTATAAAAGTTCAAAGCGTTTTGATTCTATTCCGATTGTCCGTCCATTTATCTCTGTTTGGGATTTGAAATTAAAAATATTTGAATCGAAGCGTTATGGTAGAGGTAAGGATTTCGATCTTCTTATTACCAATTCACAAAGTAACGAACAATATGTTGATGAAAAGGCTTTGATTGCTAAAAATACTAGCGTTTTGATTCGTCGTGTTCCTGGGCCACCTCTCTTGCCCATAGTAATTCCATCTCTTACTGAATCAAAGCAAGTGTATGAAGAGGAGAGTCATGAGTCTGTTCGTTGTCTAGATTTTGTATGTGATGATTTTGGGGATGATGTATATGCAATTCCAAAAATATTGCTTGTTCAATCAAAACATGATGAGGACACTAAGATCAAGAGTTCAATTGCTACACCAGCCATTGAACACTTCTCTAATGGCTATGGTTTTGGTCCAGGTGAAACGGAATGGAAAAAACCACCTATTCGATACGTGTGTCATCGATGCAATGTGCCTGGACATTATATTCAGCACTGCCCTACAAATGGTGACCCCAGGTATGACATGAAGAAAGTGAAGCCTCCAGCCCCAAGTGGCAGTGGCAGTGGCAGTGTTGGAGTTTTGAAGCATAATGAGGCTGGTGTATCTTCGAAGGGTGTTGAAGGTTTGTCGTCTGCATCCTCTTCTTCAACGAAGAGTTCCTTTAGAGATATACCACGAGAGCTGTATTGCCCATTGTGTAAAGAAATGATGAAAGATGCAGTTATAGCAAGCAAATGTTGTTTCAGTAGTTTTTGTGACGAATGCATTAGGAATCATATTGTGTGTAACTCTAGTTGTGTTTGTGGGGCTGGAAATGTAGTTGTTGATGCGCTCTTGCCTAATCTCACTCTAAGGAGAACAGTGAACAGAATGTTGTCGGAGTCCAGTAACAGTAGTTCAGAGCATGGGGTTAGTGATCCTCTTCCTCGAGTTCAAGATCTTGTGAAGGTGACCACAAAGACTTCAGGGGAGTCATCTGTCGATGAGTTACAACAGAAGAAAAGGAAGAAACCATGTGATGTTGATGTTGTAAACAGGAACTGCTTATTATCCTGCACATAATACCACAGGCAAAACATTTCGGGGACAGTATGATGAGACCGGAAAAGAAGGTTTCAAAAGGAAGCGCGAGATGAGCATTGATCAGTTTTCTAGTGTAGTTAGTTGTTGAAGGATGAAAATATTTCACATTTTTTGTAATGTTTTCGAATACAAACACTGTTTATGAATACATCAGAAGTATTTTTTTTCTGGTCTCTAAACTTCTTTTTCTGATTTTGAAGTTAACAGAGTACTAATTCATATCATTTATTAATCAGACATAATTGATTAGTCAATTTGACACTCAGTTTACATTCTTGAAAACATGAACATATAATAGAAGTTAAAGCTATTATACTTTTAGTTTTATTTACATTTTGCAAAGATAAAAAAAAATGAAACGCATATAATAAGAGGCTATAAAATAAGCATATCTTTAATGAAAAGAAGCCGCAAATTTAGGTAGAAAGAAGAGCATCATTGACAATTTGTTGGACTTGATATAGCAAAGAGAAACTAATTAGATGGCCACAATTTTGAGTACGTCTTTTTGACCAACTGAACCATTGACAAAGCCTAGTCAATCCCCACAGGTACTGAATAAAAAGAGAACCAAAATATATAAACAATAACATAAGAGAATCAAAAATCCATTACACTTCCATCAAATATAACAAGTGTCGTCACAGTTTGTAACAAACCTCCTAGAAAAAACATTGACTAACAAAAATCATAAGCTTAAATTTTCTAGGCAGCAGCCTTTTGCTTCTTTGGTACGCGATAGGCACCAACAACACAAGCGTGGTCTCTTTCAAATGGTTCAAGAGTAACCTGCTCCACTGGTTTAAATTGCTCCGCTTGTAGCTTCTTCACTTCCTGAGCAAACACAGCTTCAGCTGGTACTGTTGAATCAATACAGTTTGCCTGGAAAAATACAGGGGAGCCATGTAAACAATACAGAGAAGAAAGAGCTAAAACCCCAACGGCTCTATACCCGAGCTAAAATTAATGCTTCCAACAGTATCTTTGCATCAGCTTAACAATTATAGAGCAGTGGCTACAAACCTTGATTGAGATAACAAAGTGACCACCAGCTTTCAAGAAGTATGATGCATTCAGAGCTAAAATTCTTGCCTGTGAACAACAAAATTTATTTAAACAGTGCAATATAGTTCATACACAACTGTACTGCGAGACAACAATGAAATGAACTCCAAGAGAGCCACAGACACTCTCCTGTTTTAGAATAAAATATCTGCACAGTACTTGACTAGCCACAAAGACTACATATTCAAAGTAACTCTTCTCATAAAATGGAAAGTAAATAGGTTTAAGAAGAAAAGATAATATTAGGTGATGTTTAAAAAAGAACTTAGGATCAGAAAAGGTCTTGCAAAAGAAAAACTAAAATATTGTACTGTTTCATCTAATTCAACTAGAAACAAAAGATCCATGGAAAGAAAATTGGAGAACAAACAAAGTAATAAAAGTTGAAGCTAAAATTTCAAAATTCAAATAAATAAGACAGCATCAGTAACTCGGTTTAACATCATCCATGAAGTCTTGAAGGGGAATCCGAGTAAATCATCATCTGCTTATCAGTTCAATGTAGAACCAAAAGGAAAAGAAATCGCATTGACAGAGAAGCATTTTCAAAAGGTTTGAACTTCTCAGAAAACATGAAGATAAACATCTAAAAGTTGGGGGGAAATTAAGTTCAAGAAAACATAAAAATAAACATCAAAACTTTGGGGGGAGGATTGAAGTTAGAAATATAAAAAAAGGCACTAAAAACAGAACCAGTCAACAATAGCACAGGTTCGTTGAAGGCCATTATGCATAATGTAGACAATCACAATCTGAAATACAAGACCCAACCAAAGAGATGGGCAGTATAATTGTTTCATTAAAGAAAAGATAATAAGTCGATATCAAGTAATCAAGTAAATGAGATATAAAGCCCACTACCATAGACAGAAAATGGTCTCAAAAAACACATGCCACAGCAAAATACTATTAGACATCAACAGTCATAAAGGGTCAGACCTGATCAGGTTGAGCAACATCAGAAAATATCACATCCACCATTCCAACCAACATTCTGTATTTGGCTGGGTGTCTAGCATCCTCAATAATGGGGATAACATTAGTACGTTTCTTAGCCATGTTCACCAAGTCCCTTCCACTTCTGTGAGAAAATTCAACAGCATATACAACCCCTTCCTGCAAAGAAATGAGCACCTAATCAAAAACCAGCACTGCCATCAACACTAAATATGATCTGCCTCACATACATAAATACTTACAGGACCAACAAGGTCTGAGACATGAGATACTGTTGTTCCTGAAGCAGCACCCAAGTAAAGGACACGGGCACCTGGTTTCTGGAAGAAATTCAACATGGAAAGAAGTGTGTTACTCTCAAAACAGAGAAAACTACCTTAGAGCTCATGATTTGACAGGAGACAAACTTACAATCCAAATATCATCAACTCCTCCAAGAATTGCAGCTGCTAACTTAGAACGGAAAGGATTCCACACTCTGTATTCGACCTTTGTTCCATCTTCATTCTAAGAATACAACAAATACACAAGTCAATAATCTTGTGCATTAAACAAAATCTGCTATTGAGTTGTTCTGACATACAGAAGTTAACAAGTTTATACTTTATGGATATATTAAGGACGATAATCGCAAAAGAACACAATGTAGCGGGAATATGAGCGCAGTAACAGAGTTGTTCAAATTTCTTGCTCGAACAACAACACTTGGATAAACTACATACATCTATTAGATAAACTTGCATTTAAATAACTTAGAATGTAATTTATATGAACAAAACCTCATTTTTAGATCCACTTAATAAAAAGGTTCCTAGCACTAAGTTATGCACATACAAGAAAGACTGAACCTTGCTAGCATTTGGTACCAAGAGTCAAAAAAAGACACAGAACAGTAAAAAGTCTTAACCTAAAGATATAAGAAAAGGTTATCACCTGAACAGAAATTCTCTTTTCATTGTAGACAGCTTCACCGGGTACCAAATTCTTAGTACAAAGAGCATCTTCTTTTCCCTTAGCAATGAACACGCCCCCATGTCTATGAGGCTCGACCACAACCTTACTACCACCCTTCATTCCTCCACGTCCCCTTCCTCCACCTCTTCCACCTCTGTCTCCTCTACCTCCTCTACCTCCTCCTCGCTTCATCCCACTTCCTCCACTTCCAAAACCCCCTCTTCCACCACTGAAACCACCTCTACCACCTCGCCCTCCTCTTCCTCCTCCATCTCCTCTACCTCCCCTGAATCCACCACCACCACGACCTGCAAATGTCAGTAAACAAACCATATATTAAAACAAGCACAACTACTATTGTCACTGCTGAGTAACACTTTATTTCAACACAATTCATACAATCAAGCATTAGAAGTAATTACGTAAAACCAGATATTCATACCTCTAGTTGGTGCAACCATGGCTGCTGCTGCTGGATATTGATGGAAGCAGAGAAGAGTTATCAAGTAGAGCTCTAAAACCCTAATGCTGAGTATCGAAGTTGCAGTCTATCGGATATTTTATACTGCTAATCAGGGTTTAGGGTTTTGCGAGAGGAAATACTTGGTTGCTCAGTTGGGCTTGGGCCGTAAATATGAAGCTTAATGGGCTCCTTTTAATCGAATCTATATGCTTTCATAATGGGCCAATCCTGGATTGATGATGAAATGTGATTTAATCTTAATTTATATATGAAAAAATTACCTGGGTGAGCACTTTTTAATGTGTAAATTAGGTATATAGCATTTTTTATAGTAATATTCTCAAGGTATAGCACTACAGTTTGAATTTCATTGTATAACATTTAATATCTCAAGTTATAGCATTCTAAAAAAATATATAATGTTAATTTTAAATTATTAAAAAGAGTTGTTAAAATAAAAACTAAATTAAAAAAACAGACAAATTAATAATGGAAAATGAGATCTTTTATTAAATAAATTAAATATAATTATTAATTAGTGTTAATAATTAGCACGTTTTAAGGGATTTTAAATTTTTTTAGATTAGTCAGTTGCCTTAATTCTCTCAAATTAGTTTAAATGATATTAATTTTTGATTTAATTCCTTGAAAAGCTCTACCAAATTGGCATGAACGTACATGTCATTTTGTTTTCCAAAATTTCACAATCTTTTTGAGATTTGCAGATTTTACTTTCATTTTTTATTAGTAGTTGAATAAATTTTGGCGTTGAAAACAATTTGATTTGATTTGATGGAGAACAATGTGTCGATATTAATAAAACATGGTGGAAAGTGAAATTCATCATATTGATTTTTGTTATAATTTGTTGTTTTAATTATGAATTGTTGGTTTTAATTATATTTATTGTTTTGTACATGTATAAAAGTGTTCGATTTTTTTTTATTATTGTTAGATCTAAAATATAGTTTGTATGTTCTTTTTTTTGGATAAACAATCAAGTTACGTATGAAATTTTGAAAAACGATAAGTAAATATAAATGTGTTTGAGTTGTAATTAAATTGAAGATTCGCGTGTAAGTTGATTTGTGAAGAAAATAGAAAAACGTACATTTATTAACTGGATAAATAATAATTAGATATAATTCTTTGTACAGGTGAAGTATTACAAATGTATAAATAATGTCTGAAAATTATATAAAATTTGTATTTAATGGTAAAACATGCTCAGATAATATTCAAAAAGTAAGAAGATATAATTCTGTGTACCGGTGAAGTATGAAAATTGTATTAATTGTGTATGAAATTTATAAGAAACTTGTATTAATTGTGTATGAAAATCTATATTTTGTTAAACTTACAATATATGTTTCTGTTGAAATTATAATATATATTTTGTATTAATTTTGTATAGAAACTATATTCTCTTTGTTTAATTGAAATAGTGTATATGTCAGTGAATGATATATTAAATGTGTATGAAGTTTGTATGAATTATTTTGATAGGTACAGATACAAAATCAGAAATTGGTCCACATTTTAGACCGGTTACAGCAACAAATTCTTTCAACCCAAGATGTAATTTTGTACCATTTACATTCACAACAAACATGTCATCCCTGTCATTTTTAGTTTCAAGAAGAAATATATGTCGTAACATCTGACATTGGATTTTTATGTCATGCAAATCATAAAAAAATTCACAACAGTGTTTCTTGTAAGAATTGTTGAAATTTGTCTTGACCTAGGAAGGTCAACAGATCCGCAAACACATTCATGTTAATACATGAAGACAAATGTATTTGTATCTTCTTCTCCTATAAAATTGGTAAATTAAATTAATACATTTATCAAACTATATAATGTCATATAAAATCATATATATACTGGTATGTTAAATGGACATTCAATTCAATTCATACACAAAGCATACAAAAATTGTACATCAGTTCATACACAATGCATACAAAAATTGTACATCAGTTCATACACAATGCATACAATATTAATACATATTTAATTTTTTTAAAAATAACAATTTATGACTTTTAAACTATAAACTACTACTCAAACAGTACCACTACATTAATTCATACATCAAAATCAGAACATAAAAAATATACAGCTTTAATACTTTTAATAATAGTAAAAAATATGCGACATACAACACTAATACATTATTCATACACTGATATTGTAATAGACAATATAGCATTTCATACACATAGCATACAAAGTTAATACATTAATGCATACATTCCTATAATGAAATATAGTAATTATTTTATACACAAAATCATACAACATTAATACATTATTATTTATCAAAAATCATACTTTGTTGTAATCCAATTATATATTCACAAATCATACAATATTAAATCATACAATATTCGTATATAATTATAATATACAATACTAAAAACTCAACTCATATATAAATCATACAAATTCATACAGTGAATCATACATAAAAAATACATTATTTATTTACACAAAAATTTCATACAGTGAATCATACACAATTCATACATTATTTATTTACACAAAATTTATATTTTAACTATTTTATACCCAAATAACAGAAAATAAAAATAACAGAACATAAAAAAGTTTTAAAAAATTAACTTTTACTAACCTTTGAACTTTTTTTGGGTTTAACTGTTTCTTCTTATTCTTGTAAATGTAAAGTACCGATTTCAGATGCTATTGATTTTTTGGATTTTGATTTTATCAACTCTTCCACAAAATCAGATTCAGAATCTGATGATTCCTCGATTTCTTTTCCTTTCCTTTTCTTTCCTCTTTCTTTCGTCCTTTTCTCAGATTCATCTACTTTTTTCTTTTATTTCCCTTTTCTCTTCTTCTCGTTTTCCTTTGGATGTTTGTTTGTTTTTTTTTCTATTGTTGATTTCCCTGATCTAGATTTAACTTTAACAGATGAGATTGAAATTGTGTTTGTGATAAAATTTTGAAAGATGGAGCATGAAAATCGTCTGAGCTTGCTTCTTCATTCAATCTTCTACTTTTTCTCTGGGTTTCGTTGCCTATTTTCGACATTGTACGGCTTGTTTATCGCAAGAGTTGAAGATTTGAGTGCTAAAAATGAAGATTTGAATGCAAATATTTGAGAATTCTTGAAGAAGACTGTTAAGAGAGAAGTTATTTTGAGAGAAAATTTGGTGAAAGTAACAATTTAGGCGTGCGAATTTGGTGAAAAGTTTTGATAGGCGTGCAGATGTAATGATTTTGAAAAGAGTTGGGGAAGAACAAAAATTTGGGGAATATAATTTTTTTTTTTTTAGATAACGTTTTACCGTTTTAAAAATAAAACTGTAATTTTTTTAGATTTTGATAAAATCCCTATTATTTTGTAGTTATCTTAAAAAAGGTAACTATATAATATTTAATTTAAATTACATTAATTAAGAGTTTTGTTTAAAAAAGGTAACTTAAAATAATAAATTTAATTAACTACATTGGTTTAAATATGGTAATTGAATTATTTAAATAAGTTAATTATTATTTTAAAAAATTAATGAGAATAATATATTATTTCTTGATATGCTATAACATGATAATAATATGCTATAAGTAGTTTATTATTAAAAAGTTTGTTTATAACTTGATATTTAACATCTTAAATGTGTGTGTAGTGTTATTTTTATCTTTTTAATAAATAATTATTAATTTAGTGAATGTTTTTAATTTATTACTATTTCTAATATTATCTAGCAATACTATAATAAATATGCATTATGTATTAAAACTATGCAATATAGATATATTATTAGTGTTTTGAATATTATGTTTATTATATATGTATTAAAATATGTGATAAATATATTATTTATCAATGAATTATATTTATATAATTTTATAAATTATTTTTTGCGATATATATTGAAACTATATTATAAATGTTATTGGTATGAATGATAAATATTTTATTAATATAGCATGTTTAGGTAAGTTATCATTTATATATTGTAAAATGCACTTTTTGTTCTAAAAAAGAATTTAAGTGTCATAAAGTCTTTTTTCTCATGATATACTAGTGACGAAAATTTCATTTTGTGTCGTGTGCCCCAAGTTCCAAATATTTATCCATAAAATTATTTTCTAAGTGGTGTTAGCTGAATAATTTTATAAAATTTATCTAAAATAAGTTATACATATTTATTTGGTAGTAAATTAACTTATTAAGTGTAGAAATGCCTAATAATTGTTTATGTTGATAAATTGTAAGTGGTTAAATCACTTCAGATTTTTGCTCTAAAAAATTGTAGGAAAAATTATTTAATTAGACAAACATTTTTAGTTTAAAATAATTACATATCGTCTCATCAATTAATAGTTTTAAGTCAATTATATCTATATATATATATATTTTTGCTATAAGATACACTAGAACAAATTATATCTAATTTTAACTTAGAGAATATAGGGGAGAGGTAAGAGAGAATAGAGTCAGATACATGTGAACCACTTAGAGAATATGTATCTAGAACAAATTATATCTAATTTTAACTTGATGTATATGAGATACACACTTATATTTTATAGTAATCATATTACCTTCTTGAACTATTTCAAAATGAAATTAAGATCACCCTAAAATGTTATATTCAGATTTATTGTGTAAAGTAAAACACGCACCAACACATGTTTAATATGTGTATTTTCTATTTAAATTTATTTATTATTTACTTTTTATGCTCTTCTTCATTTTATTATCATCTATTATTTTTCACAATTAAAATAATATCAAAGCTTCATTTAGTGATAGCTAAAAATACAAAAGAGGATTAGATGTTTGAAATTTATCATTAATATATATATTGTTGGAAACCAACTTGATAAAATGGGTTAAGAAAAAAAAATCAACATTTCTATCTTGATGAACAAGGAATTGAATTTATTTTTTTATTTTTCTCAATTGTAAATTATGTATAAATAAAATTACGTATTTAATTTTTGTTTTTGAGTAAATCGAAAGCTTGATTTGTATAAATTATAAAAATTGAGGTAAATTATGAAGAAAATTTGAAAAAGAAAAATTATAAAGTTGTCGGTAAATTCATCTTCTTAGTTCTTTGGCTTCCTATTCTTCGTGGATTATCTCCTCCCT